TGGCTTGATGATTTTTTGGAGAAAAGTCGATATCCAAATTGATGCAACAAAACTATACAGAAAATGCACGAACAATATCAAATATCAACAATTGACGCAAATACATGCACTCCAGTATGATATATTTGAAGTCTTGTACCACTAAAAGAATCTAGAAGTGTGAGAATGTTGCCTATAATAGGTGGCGATCAAGGCAGCGATTATGTATACTATACATGGCATGGAGGGAACTGAAGCATGTATCTTCATTGTGCCATAGCTTGATGGTGCCCTACATGGTGTAAAATTTGTAGCATTGTTAGGAGGGTATTAAGTGGATATTATAGTGAGTTTGATCATTGTAAGTAACTTGTTCAATTGTTAGATTTATGTAAAGCATAATACCTTGAAAGATATTATTTTCCTTGTGGCAGTACTCTGATGTCCTGAAATGTTAGCAATAGCTCTAAGTAGTCTTCCCTTAAAACAACATTGAAGCACTATGGTAAGATATCTCTATGTAAAGTGACATCTTTCAGGTTATTTTACTTCCTTTTTTGCGGGTAGGTTTTTAATTCAAATAGAGTATGTATCATGTAAACACTTTTGGGGCTAACATATTTTTTTAGAAATAGGGTGGCAATTGATAGAAGAGGCTCGCTAAATCTTAAACCCATGGAACTATAGTGGTTACCTATTTATAAGAACACAATAAAAGACTGAGGTAATTTTGGTGATTTAGCAAAAATATATTTAAAAGAGACTGACGTAATTTTGCTGATTTACAGATAAAATATTTAAAAGATGTGTCCTTAGCTCCCATGCATGAGAATAAGAAGCAAACGCCATGGCCATCATCATGGAAAAAATTGTTAAAAAAATCTAGTATATGATCTTCAAGGTTTCATCATTAGAACAAACTGATGTAGAAAACCATCATGAACTGGCAGCTACTGTATTGGAGACGTTTCTCAGCAAGATCAAATTTATTTTGTGCTGCTCATGTTAAATAGTGGGAATAGAAGGTAATGTCGAATCAGAATATGTATTTTAATTTTATTCAATAAATGTAGGGAGGAATGGGAAGATTTACATGGCAGGACATTCATTTATTGATTTTCTATCAATCATGGTGACTTGTACGTATTCATTGTTGTGGGTACTTGGTTGGTAGTAGAGGAATTATTAGATAAATATATGGTACACCACAGGGTATTGAAGTTTATTATACGATTGGAATTCGCCACTAGCATCTTCAGTAAAATCGGTTTTTTCCCTCTGTACCGGAGTTCATGTGAAAGAAAATTTTCTGTTGGACTATAATTTAGTCAAGGTATTAATTAAGTATGTAGATTTATGAGCAGTACTTCTTTCCAATTCTATTCTGTATCATCAGAAGAAGCTACACTAACTGGTGTTGTATTGTCTTGTGAAATCCCTATGCTAAGGATAGTTGGACTATAAAGTAGTGTTCATTAGAAATATTTGCGGTATTAATTGAAAAGAACTGCAACTTTAAATTAAAGTATGACAACAAAACCTCTCAATAATTGTGTGGCTGGAACCTAGAACAGACAACATGTCCTTGCTTTGCGAATTGAGATGCCTCAAGATATTTCGTTGTTTAAGTTAGTATTTATGCAGGCTGGAGATGGGATTCGTAATATGAACATTGACTCTCTCTACTAAAGGAAAGCAAGGAATAAATGATCAATGCGTCAATTGCATGGCAGTAATCTAAAAGCAAAGAAGCAACATGGTTCATGAAGATTGGAAAATGGAGGAATCAGGGAGAACCTCATGCAGAGAGGTGATTGAAACAGGATGAAGGCGGCTTCGAGGGCGCAAATTTGACCCAGCCTCGGAAGTTTCCTACCTCTGCCTGATGATTGCAAAAGCATCGGTAGAAAAAATATGGCATGGATATAATTCCCATTCAGCACCATGTAATATGTTCAGGCTGGAAAAAAATTGGAACAACAACTTGTTAACTTATTGGATGACTAAAAATAATGTATTGGTCAAAATAAAGAGATGATAAAGCATGTTTCTCTAGTTATCAGTTTACTTGACACAGTTCTACAAACTCAATCAACAAAACAATTTTCAGTTTTCTAGATTTAAGAACCGGACCTGTAGGCACAATGAGGAGGGGACATGACGTAATCACACAAGCCAAGATTGCAACGGTGGCGGCCAAGAGGAGGTTGCTGAACCATTCTCGTAGGACAACAGGGTCGGCGAGTGTGGTGAACGCGTCCAAACATGACGCCAGCATCCCCACGAAACCAATCATCTGCTTGGCGTCCCGCCGGTTCACTTATGTACCTACATGGCTACATGCACAGACGCCGTAATAAGAGCACAGATCCAGCCGACGTCAGACGCCGCTGTAGGGCGGGTGAGGCATGGGAAGTAGTGTACCTGATGGACTTGGTAATCTGATGGGGAACGCGAGGACAAAGGCGTGGAGCGGGCAGTCCCAAACACGTCCGGATAGGTGAAGCGGGCGCTGCCGTGGGCGGTGGCTGTGCGCCGGAGGCAGCACCTCTCACCAACAGCCGGCTGGTTCTTGAAAGTTCTAGCCTCCGCCTCCTCTTCGAGACCTGTACCATTAGGTGACACGCGTGGAACATCAGGTGACAGGCGTGGAGTGGTATCTAACTAATCTTCAGGAACTAAACCTGAATGCCTCGTGAATCCTCTCATGCAGATGAGGAACTTGTTGTATGGAGCGCAACTCCATCTACTCCTCCATTTATTCCCTCGAGAGGAAGAAAAGGCACCGGCGTATATGGAAGATGGAGAGATTGATGGAAAATCAATCGGCGGGGTGTTAATTAGTGAGATGATAAATGTGGGCGTCCGTTATTGGGCTGAAAAGCCAGCGTGCAAAATGCATCGGTCACAAATATTTTCCCGACTCAATGGTACGTGTGCAGAATGAAAGCCATGTTGGATTTCCAGTACACCGTGCGAACGTAGCACAAAGCGAGCGACCTGCAGCGACAACATTTAGTGGTGACGTGTCTTCACCATAGGTGAGCTAAATCAAGAGAATTGCTGATGTGGCTAGGCGATGATGTGGACGTGCTGCATGTTGAGAGAATTGATAGTACTGGGGATCAACTATTTAAGAATGTAAGATGAGGGGGAAGGTGGCGGCAAAAGGGGGAGGGGAGAACCCACAAGTGTCCAATTATATCCTCCACCACCTCTAGGTCATCCAAGAATGCGCCTGATGAGAATCCTCTTCCTTTGGACTGTTGGGGAATGTAGTAAAAAAATGGTGTACGATCAACCAGGAACACTATGAAGATGCAATACAAGTTTGGATTGGATCCTTAACAACTCTGAGTTCCGTCGAAAGAGGAAGAGTTGGTCTAAATCATACTTGAAGTCCCTCGAACCGTCAATGAATGATCCCTCGAACATATGACCGAAAGCATGACCTCTCCATGGATAGCAAGCGTATAGTCTTCACAATCAGACAACACTTCGCCGTTTAGAGTTAGTCAGCGCCGAAGAGTTAAAGGGAGGAGATTAGAACTACATCGGGATTATAATTATGAGGATTAAAGGATCTAGGTCTAGCTCTAATTAGGTCAACTAGGATCACCTAGAACTAGAACTAGAGAAGTAGAGGAGGCTTCAAAATCCTTGTGTTCAAAAGTGTCAAAACTCTCTAGTATATATAGGTTGGAGAGGGGAGAGATTTAACGTTAAGGGGTCCGTAATCAGCCTGTGTTTGTCCGTAATCAGTCTTTTGTAGCTGGAGCTCCACGGTACCCTATATCTTGGCCGTTCAGTATGGCATCCACTGCATAGGGATATGTGCATAGTGTTAAAAAACTGTAGTGGTGTCAGTGCAATTAGTGCTTGATTCTCATGCTTGTGACCGGCCCTGCCTCTCTCCGTCCTACACTACACCCATGTGAAATTCTGACAACACCCTCTCTCATGCACAAAGATTCTTTACATGCAAATGAAATCTGCATGCATAGTCTCTCGCTCACCTCCAGAGCAAAGACTTTTCTCTTGACAAATCGTGTCTCTCGTTTACGTAAAAAAAGTCACTAACACAAACGCTATCTCTCTTTTAGAAAAGTGTTCTTTCTCACAGTATTTTATTTTCAAAGTTCTCTCTCACCGTCACAACGTTGTCTCTCCTCAATCCATTTTTTTTCTTGTGGAATGCCCGCACAGCTTCTCTCAATTACTCAAAAACTTACTACATTTTTTTCTCTAGGATTTGTCTCTTTATTTAAGTCTGCCGGGTCAACTGCAGAATGATGCACCGTTCCATCTTTTTTTAATCGCTGGCAAACAGGGCAAAGCAACCAGCTGTGGCAGGCTAGTGCCAGAGACCTAGCATACGACAAACAGACCAGCCACTCCAGCAGGTGCTCGTGCTTTGTATTACTGTTTACGTAGACAGGACAGCTCCTCCTAATTGATAAAACAGCGAACAGATGCATGGCCTGAACTGCACATATCACAAGGCAAACTGAGGGTTCAGATAGAAGGTGTTGTGGAGCTCGAGCTATGAAAGAACTTTGCGATAACAAAGATAGCAAAAGGAACCAGGGTTTTGGGTTGGGGCTGTTACAACCATGCTGATATTCAACGAATCACAATTGTTAGGGGTTTGGTCCACCAAATCAATGGCCCGGTGTTTTATTTTTCATGAAATTGATTGCACATTTTTCATTTTACTTGTTGAGCGCCGTCTACTTATATACTCCCTCAGCTCAAAAATTGAAGAGATTTTGGATAATTTAGATGGTCTCCAGTACTCAGGTCAGTGTGCACGAGAATCGATCGATGACTGACTATTGTGTGTCTGCCCCCCAATTTGGACAATCGGCGCCAGTTGTAAAACTTTCGCCGCCACGGAAGGCAAAGACCAAGATTTTGACTTGGATCGGCCCCAAAAACACAAAACCACGTTTGAGGCTCTCTCATGTCGTGGAATATTGATACAAAAATGCACTGATATTTCCCATGCTGCGACGCTACGGCTACGTCTCGGCCAGTTCCCTGAAGGTGATCGGGCCGACGAACCGTGCCGGCCCGTCGTAGAACGCTCGGCCGGCGAGCCTGGAGGTGGCCTGGGTAGGGTGCAGGAAGTCCCAGAAGAGGAACTTGCCACGGTCGCTGCAGTAGCCGGCGCTGGGGGTGCACCCTCCGTCGGCGTTGAACCTGCCGCCACGTCCAGAGCACGCGCTCTTCAACTCCGTCAATCCTGCACGCAGCACAGCGAGCCACGTTAATTCTTCGTGCAAGCATGAGCGATGTACGAATTACGATGTACTCCCTCCGTTCCAAAATAGATGACTCAACTTTATACTAACATTGTACTAAAGTTAATATAAAGTTGAGTTATCTATTTTAGAACGGAGGGAGTATCTGATATCAGCTTGATATTAGAATGCTGCGATTTATTTTTACCTGCAGACTGCGGGTCTTGGACGATGCGGGAGACGAGCTCGTAGGTGCTGCCAATGGCGTACTCCATGCCCTGCATCTCGCGGACGAGGCCGGCGAACAGGTCCCGGATCCCATCGTTGAGGCTCTTCGCTAGCCGGTTCAGCGGCTCGACGCACTCCCCGGACGGGTTCCGGCTCCTCCAGTACGGGCAGCACCCGAGGGGCGCCACGTCGATCACCGCGAACTTCCTCGCCCCAAGGTTGTACAGCGTCTGCACAGCCATGCAGTTGATTTGATTCAGAGTTGAACATAACACAGTGAGTTTGGCTGAGTTGAAGCCTGATGGAACTGATCATCACTGGTCAGGTCTCTTACTATGACATGGCTATCGTATGTCGAGACCACGGCTTCCCTGAACTGCTGGAGTGCGGTGGAGTCCGGCGATGTGTCTTGCGAGAAGAAGTCGATGTTGTCGTTCGAGCCCGCGCTGATGAGGAAGATGGACTTGGAGAGGAAGGCCGATGCTCCGAAGGCACCCAATCTGGCTGACAGCATCTGGTCTTTGAGATCCGAGAAGTATTCGATCTGCTTCGTCATGTTGATCGTGTCTCCCTGGTAATGTGATCATCATCTGGTTGTCAAATGTTGCCGGCACTGGCTGAGGGTGTCAATTGTAGTACTTGCTGATTTTTAATGCAGCAAGTGGAAAAGGCCAGATTTTAAATTGTGTGGTGCATGACACTAAAGAGAGATGGAGTATAGGAGAAAGTTGTTGCTTTGACTGAACAATTGAAGAATTTTCTCAACTTTAGGTAGTAACGAATCATCTACTCCACCTAAATTCTTCCGGTGAACATTAAAATATAGAACAAAATTTCAAATGTACTTGGGGTTAGTAATCAATTCAATCGAATTTATGTCTGGACAAAAAGTAATGAATTGACGACATGTTTCTACTAAACAATAGGTCAATAGCTATATCTGGTAAAATGGAAAAACAGAATCAGAAATGTTACAGCAGATGTGGCTTGGACGTACCGTGGAGTCAAGAACACCGGAGCCTCCAGAGGCAAAGCTGGCTCCTCTCATGGAGGCAGAAGCGGCCACCGGCTTCTTCGTCCTCGTGTTGCCCAATGCTTCGTCGCTGCCGACGACGAGAGAGAGGTATGGCGGCGGGCTCCCGCTGAAGCCCATGTGGACAGCTGCAAAGCTCACCACTGATCAGACAGACAGCCGAGCCGCCATTGATTCAAAAGAGTGTGATCAGTTGGCTTGCTCACCCAAGAAGTCGGCGCCAATGAAACCGTTGCTGAACCTGCCCGTCGGCTCACCGCCGGGGAAGTCGACGCCATTGTGAGGGAAGTCAGCTCTGGCACTGGTCCCCGGCAGGTAGTTGTTGTTCCCGACATCGGCAGTGCAGTCGCCGAACACAAAGATCTCCGGAACCACCCGAGGTACGGTGCTGCTCACCACGGCCACAAACAACAACAGGATCACCGCAGCCACGAACAACAACTGGTGTGCCATTGAAGCTCGTCCCAGCGCGGCAATGGCTAATTCCGGTCACCTGACAAAGAAACAACTTCCGATACTTTGCTAGCAAGTCTAGCCAATTTTTTCTGATGGAAGAATGAAATGAACCCTGGCAGCATCTTTGCTGATGTTACAATGTGACAAGTTACAAAGGCAACCACTGCCAATCAGCAGAGCATTTCCTCCATAAAGTTTTTGCTGAGCATTTGGTCTACTGTTTCACAATACATTGTTTTCTCATCAGCAAAAACTCAGCATGTGCTCAGCAAAAGATTGTTCATAATACATTGTTTTCTCATCAGCATGTGCTCAGCATTTCCTCCATAATGTATTGTTCATAATACATTGTTTTTGCTGAGCATTTGTGCTGATGAACAATACAACGAAATTTTGCCAACTGTTTCACAATACATTGTTTTCTCATCAGCACAAATTTTGGTGCTGATGTAAATTTCAGGGGACAGTATCCCTGTAATGACAGATGCAAAGATGATTCGGACATCACCCCTTTAACGAAGACAAGCAAGCATGTTTGCTTCTTTGGTAGACACCATGTGATTACCAACTGAGTCATATTAGGCCTTCTTCCTAGTGATTCTGTAGCCAGATGGAAATCATGTCGGTCAAACAATTGATGCAAAATGTGGAAAAGAATTGCAGTGATAATTGACATATATGGAACTTGTCTAGAAAAACGTGTAGATCATCATGGTGCATGTTAACTTGCTGTTTAACAACACTAACATAATGGGTTATTCAGATCTAGACCAATTTCGAAATTTTAATATGAGGACTTACCGGAATTGTTATATGTTGGTTCTGGCCTGATTTAAACTTGCTTTGATGTGATGTTCTTGTATGCATCTTCTCTTTCCATGAGGAGCATTATATAGCCTTGTCATGCATCATACCTGGTTGAGCGTCATGTTTATGTGTTGTGTGTTTACCGTGTTGTTTGCTTCTTTCCGGTTGTGCTTCTTCTCGATAGTTCCTATTTAATTGTGATCATGAGGATTCGTTCGACTATGCTTGGTTCGTCTACGCATGTTCATCTTCTTCATGGACTCGTTCTTCTTCCTAGCAGGATTTCAATCAAGGCGGCCGTCACATTGGATCTGATTACTATCATTGCTATGCTAGTTGTCTCGATGCTATCACTATGTCGCGCTTCCTACCACTTGTTTACCAAGCCTCCCATTATGCCATGAAACAGTGTCTAACCTTTTCCACCATCCCAGCAAACCGTTGTTTGCCTATGTTACTGTTTTGTGTAGCCCCTCTTATAGTGTTGCTAGTTGCAGGTGTAGTTGCAGGTTCTTCCAAGTTGGGAGATGGATATCATGGGATATCACAATATCTCTTATTTAATTAATACACATATATACTTGATAAAGGGTGGAAGGATCGGCCTTTTGCCTGGTGATGATGCCATAGACCTAGGGTAGGGTCATAGACTTGACCTATATACGCCCTACAGAAGGTCAGAACCCTAGAGTCAAGGACATCCAAGATATAGCAAGGGGTACCGACAGAAGCCATCGAGTGCAATCCACTCAACCAATCACCTCACTCGGGTACCCCCAAATTCACTCGACCAAGATGAAGCCATTCGACCAGACAAGAAACCACTCGCAGTATGGAAGACCTAGAGTCACTCAGGATGGCAATGGTCGGGAGTTCACTCCGTAGTCTTAAAGATCATTAAATACACTTTATAGCTGGCGCTACCAGTAACGCCCTGTCTTAATGTACATTGATCCCCTGTAACGGAGGTGGGCTGGGGTCCTGACGCACTCTATATAAGACACCCCCTTTGTAACGCCCCGAATCCGATGTGCCAGGTGTCTTCCAGTTATTCATCGTTGTTGCCATGTCATTTGCTTGCGTGTTGTTTTTTGCCATGTCATCATCTGCATTTCATCTGCATGTTTTCCAAAACTTGCATCCGTTCGGGTTCCCCCAGTTCTCTCCGCATGTACCCGTCGCCCCTCAGACCTTGTTTCGTGAGTGAGAGAAAAACATTCTCAGAATGGGCCGAGATTTGCCGAGTGGCCTTGGTATATCACCGGTAGACCGCCCGTCAAATTTCGTTCTATTTGGAGGTCGTTTGATGCCCCAACGGTTAACCAGTTAACCGAAAGCCCCTCTCTCTTTGCATACCAACACCCCTTCACACAGCCCACCTAGCCCATCTAACTCCCCTCCATGCTCTGCGTCGTTCGATCACGATCGTGTGGGCGAAAACCGCATCTCATTTGGCTATCCTAGCTCCCAGAATCTATATAAAGCCCCTCTCCCCCGAAATTTTGGGCAAACCCTAGCAATGTTCCTCCTCCCGCAGCTGGACGTGTCCACCCCGCCGTCGGACGCATCCACCATCGCCTCCACGTCGCCCGGGCCAATCTGGTGCCTCCACGTCTGCCCCGCCGCATCCTGGATCAACCCCGCACCGCCAAGTGTCGCGTCGTCGTCCTCCCCGCGCTCTCCTCTGTCGCGGCCCGCGGGAGCCGACAGCCGGCCCACTCCGGATCGCATCTGGGCCCTGCCGGCCGGCCCGTCGCCGCCAGCCGCCCGAGTGCCCGGATCCCGCCTCCCGCTTCCCCAGCCCCGCCGCCAAGCGCCACCCGTCGGCGACCATGGCCGCCGGCCACCCTGACGCCCAGGTCGACGCGCTCGACCTCCCTCCTTGCTCTCCTTCTCCCTCACGCGCTCTCCCTCTCCCCTTCGTAGATCTGCACCGCCCATTGAGGCCACCGTCGCCACTGTCGGAGCTCGCCCGAGACATGGACGCCGTCGGACCCGCCTCTGTTTGCCGTGCCACCGACGGATCCGAGGTGCCCGGCCGTTGATCCGCCCATTTTCCCTCGCTCCGCCCTTCGCTGCAGTTCTGCCCCACGCTCGCCGGAGAACCGCGCCGCCGTCCCGCGCTGTCGACCTCGCCCCACGTCTGGAGGACGACACCCTCGCCCCCCCTAGGCCTCCTCCTGTCGCATGGACCTCATGGGCCACGGCCTCGGCCCACTGCATGGCCCAGCTCGTCGGCCTGCTGCCTCTCCTTCCTCTCTGGGCCGAAGCCCATGGTGAGCAACCCCCCTATCCCTCTCCTGTGCATAGTATTGCTACGTTGCGCCCGTTCATTTTTTCTTACGAAAACTGCTAAGTCCCGAAATTGCTACATCATGTGTGCATCTTTGACCTACTATAACTTCATGCATAGTGCTCCGTTTTGCGTGTATAATATATCAAAATGTTCATTGTGAGATAGTCGTCATTTCATTACATTGTGGCATGCTTGTTTGAGTCCATTCTGATTCCCTAATCATTGACGCAAAAGTGCTATAAAATGTTTACTGCTGTTACTTATCACATTATGATGTTTTGTCATTTTTGTTGCATTTGATGTGTGCATCATATGAGCATGAGATCTACATGTGTTTTGAACTATGACATGCCATCTTTACAAGGGTGCTAATATTGCATTTTTTATGATCTATGTGGTGGCTAGCACAAAGCATGCAAACTAGGCTTCGTGATGTTGCTGATTTCAGTGTTGTCAAGTCCTTGTTCTGCTATTATTTTGATGCCATGTAAACTTGATGCTACAGTGATATCCATGCTTGTTTTGGGATACTTCAGTAAGGATTTTCTAAACATATGGTTATGATCTATTCATCCATGTCCCACTTTGCAATTATGTAGTGATCTAGCATGTTTTGTTCTTGCTCTAGTTTTGCTATAAAATGTTCCTGGCAGAATGTTAACATGTTAATCCATACTGCCATGGTTGTTGCTAGTGATACATGCATCCTATGAACTTGCTCTTGCCATGATTAGCTTTATGAACATGTCATCTTGCTGTTGGTATGCTTATTTTGTCATTCTGTGCCTTGCGGTGAGTGGCATGAGCTCACAAAGTTGCCTTCATAATTCTGTTTATGCCATGCTCTGTTTTTCTGCTAAGTCTGAAACTGTTAATAAAACTTGCTATGTTTACATGGGTGTCATCATATCTTCTGTTCCTTTTTGGCTCATGTTCAGTAAGGGACTTTTGTTGCATGTGTTTAGTAGATTCATGCCGTGCCATGTTTTGCTATGATATGTTCCTGTAGCATGTGGTTTGCTTGCTCTAAACATTGCAACCTGATGTTATTTCTGTCATGTCCAGGGAATTTCTGTCAAGTGTGTGAATCTGTTATTATTTGCAATATTGCCATGTCCTTTTAAGCATGTTGTAATGGTTTCTAGAGATAGCTTAGTGTTCGTGTTTTGTTAAGATTCATTTGTACATAATGCCCATGCCTATTGTTTTCATGTTGGGATGTTGTAGCATATTTTCATAATGCTTGCAAGATGCCTAGGTGCTGCTTTGGACAGATTGTTGTTATATCTTGTTTGGAGTGTATGGGTTGCATTGTTGCTCCGTTTTGAGCATGCTCTATATGAAACCTTCTTAGAATTGCATGTAGTTTCATATTATCATGTTGCATCCATGTTTTGAGAGTGTTTGCTTGATGTTTGAATGCATTTTGCATAATTGCCATGTTTGACTTGTTTTGCTCATATCTTCTAGGCCGTAACTCCGAACTAAATGAACTTTATATGTAACTTGACTAGAATTTCATGTAAATCATCTTCGTGCTCTTTAACTTGCTGTTTAACAA